CTATTTGTCTGCGTTGATTCAGAGTGCTGCCTTCTCCCGTTTCATCCAAAGCGCTGCTTAACCAAGTGAGCGATGGGAGGCGTGGAAGCCACGCTCCACGACGCACTTCCCTGCGGTCACTGAGCAAGCACCCCAGGGCGACTTTCTTGGGTGACGGATGGGGCCATGAATTCTGAGGAAAACTCTTTCTTAGCTATTCTGATAAAGTCGGATGTCGTTCCCTGTACTAACTACTATGGACTAAATTTGAGTGTCCTCTCCAAGAACCACGACGGAAGCCCCAGTCCCCGATGTGATGGTATTTGGAGAGGGGGCCTTTGGGAGGTCATTCGGTTTAGACAAGGTTGTGAGGGTGGAGCCCCCATGATGTGGCGACTGCTCTTAGAAGAAGAACTCAGAGTGCCCCTCTCTGTCACATAAGGCCACAGACCAAGAAGCGAGCTCTCCCCGGAACCCAGCCCTGCCGACACCTTGATCTTGGGCTGTTAGCCTATGAGAAATAAGCTTCTGTGTCAGCCGTCCAGTCTCTGGTATTTTTGTCACAGTGGCCTGAACTGACTAGGCCACTAATCGAATCAAGTACTGCCAGGGATTCAAAGGATTCATTGTGGCCCCCAGGGCCTCCCATTGGAGACCGGAGGTTTGTGTGGACAGCATCTTTGCAATGGTGAAGGCCGTGCTGTATTTCCAACTTCCAATGATCTCCTGATGCACAAGCATTGATGTGAAGCCCAAGCAATTCATCGTTAAGATGATTTCAACCTGGCTTGTGCCCCAACTATCCCTAGTGGGTGACGTTACAATTGAGCCACAGGACCTCCCTGGCCCGGCTGCTGTTGTTTTTAATATAAGAAAAGCCCCATTAAATAGAACACCCATGAAGACAAAGAGAAAATAACAAATTGCAATATGCTGTCTCAGGAATAAAAAGGGGAATAACATGTTGATAGGAGCTTAAAGTACAGCTGGCAGTAGAATACAGGAGCGCAAGTTCATCTGGATTTCAGGTCAACGATGGACCTTCTTTAGTATAGTGTGCTCCATTTGGAGTCCGAGGTTTTCATGTGCTGAACCTGGTAAACTCTGCCTTAGCGTCTTGCTACTCAAACTGTGGTCCCTAGACCAGCAACAACATCACCCTCTGGAAGCTTGTTGGAAATGCAGCATCTCGGGCCCAGCCCAGACTTCTTGAATCAGAACCTTCATTCTTAACAAGATGCCCAAGAATTTAGTCTGCACGTCAGTGATTGAGAAGCACTGTTTTAAAGTTCTAACCTATTTTTATGGACATGACTGCATTGGTTTCCAAACTGTCCCAATAGGTTGGAAAGGAAAGGGGAAGAGGGGTCCTCTTGATGACCTGAAGATTTAAACGTTAACAGGGTCATGTGCACATGGAGATTTTCTCCCACCAAAGGGCACAGTCTCCTCCTCTGTCCCACCACCTGTCTGCAGACTTGTTTAGCTATTACAGCAGAGTGGATCTGCCAGGATGGGTGAGGGTGTGGGCATGGGGACAAAGGTGGGTTCACATTCTGGGGGAGCCAGTGCTCACACACCCTTGACCATTATATCCACACAGCGAATCTCACCTGTGGCCGCCATAGCAGCCACATACATCCGTTGCCTGCTCTCTCTATTTCAAGTCATTTATTTCAACAGGTGCCATTCATTTAATAACAGCTATTTGGAAAAATAAAATAATCACTGGGATAAATGCACATATCCACTGTAGAAGTAATTTTGATTTCAGAAATGTTCAAATGTGAAATAAGTAAGTTTCTGAATCAAGGAAGTATGGTAAAGAGCTGTGGATCAGAAGTCATAAAATAATCAGGAGAAACATGGGCAATGGAAGACAGGCGGATCAGATACTCAGATCGATGGGGGGGCTGCAAGAACGGATGGGAGCTGAAGGATGGGCTGAGCGAGTCGGCTCCAGAAAACGAAGAGAGCAAGAATGTCTGGGTTGTCAGCAGTCTTCCCATGGGTTCGAGTATAACAACTCCAGACTGTGACCATCTCTATCAGTGCTAATAAGCATCTCTGTTCCATCTCCATTAACACTTGTCAATAGATTTAAAGCAAAGTTCGGGTTCTTTTATTTCAGCTGGATGATTAGAATAACCTTTCTTTCTTTTTTAAACGAGCATTCTTAAACACCTGTCATCTGAAAAGCTATACTTCAAAAGTAGGAAAAAATAGGTTATTATCTACTTTACAAATGGATTTTTCAACTTACAAAATAGTTCAGTAGCCCTGGCCAGGTTTCTCAGTGGTTAGAGCGTTGGCCTGCAGACCAGAGAGTTCCGGGTTCGGTTCCCGCTAAGGGCACATACCTCGACTGCAGTTTGTCCCGGGCCCCAACAGGGCCATGTGGGTGGCAGCTGGTTGATGTGTTTCTCTGACATTGACGTTTCTCTCTCTCTCTCCCCCCGCCCCCCGCTCTATCTGAAGATAAATGCAAAAATGTCCTCGAGTGAGGATAAAAAAAGAAAAAAGAAAAAAAATAGTTCAGGGAAATTCCTTTAAATGAAAAACTCTCAGGATTAATTAATATTTGAATGAGAAGAAACCCTCAATTAGATTTAATTCAACAAGTCTTTATTGGTTATCTACTTATTGTGCTGTTAAATATAAAGTTATAATATTAACATTCCATTCCAGTAGAAGAATTTAGAAAAAAAAGGAACTAAATGAAATGATCATTTTCAATAGGATTATAATTCAAGTCACATATATTTGATGGCCTCATCTTTTTAATAATATACTGGGTGAAATTCTGGAATGTTCTGCAAATGATTTTATTGCATTAAATTTGGTGATTTCCCTTACTTGCATAAAATCTTCCAAAGCCTTCCCATGGACCTCAAGATAAAATTAAAATCTGGCCCCTGAGCACTGTTCCAGGTGCTATTCCAGGACCACCTATCAGGTCCCTTCTGAAACCCACAGTCCCACAGTATGGTACTTGAAGTTCCAAAACCCACTGTCCTCTCTCCAACCACTGTGGCTTTTTATGGCATCGCCATGTTTAGCATTTAATTCACAGAGGGAATGAATGCTTCTAGATATCGCTGATGGAATGATGGTTTTAATGAACCCAAGCAGAGTTACTACATCTTTTACAGAGCTAAGGATCTGTTTCATTCGTTCTCCTACCCTGGGGAGGCTGTATTTCAGAGGCAGCACAGAGAAGTGAAAAGAATACTGGGCTAGGATTTGGGGATTTCGGCTGTCACCCTTGTTGGGTGGGTGATCTTGGCCTGATGGTTCCGTGTCTGTGCTCCTGAAGAGCACAGTGAGGACTTGGCTGCATCCTCCCGGCCACCTCTAGCTCTAACTTCAGTAATCTCTGTCTTCCCCATTCATTTTCTTGATGGAGTGTAGTTCCTTCCCCAAGCCATGCCTGCTGCCATTTAAAAAAATTTCCTTCTGTAAAAGTTGCATATGCACCAATATCCAACAACCTGTGTAACCATCCATGGGGAGGTAGTTCAAAACACAGCCTTTGTTTTAGCCAAGGACGGGCAACAGAGCAGCTCGAAAATCAACCAGGCCATTCGTTAGGCCATCTGGTAATCCTTCCAGTGTCTTCCTGTCCAGTCATTAGGAAAAGACACATTAGAGGCTGGTAGATCACAGCTGAATCTGATGGCCCATGATCTTCGTCCTAAAAGGCTGGACATTGGTAAACTACTAGGCATTTTTGAGGGGCATGTTGTTGATAGCACAGATATCTTTCTGCACCTCATGATCTAAGATCTGGGTATTGATATTTTGTGGCTACTTGAAATATTTTAGCTTTTTCTATAGCTGTCTAGTTTTCATGTTGCTAAGCTTTCCCTAGCACACGAATAATACGACAGCCAATAGATGCTAAAAATTGCAACTCTGCAGCGTCAGAAATAAGAACTAATGAGCATCTCACTGCACCCTGCTTACCTTCTGTAGTTTCTTCTGAACACAGTGTTCACGTACCTTCTTGTTGCCATTTGATCACAGCTGCTTCATACACCTGAAACTGCCCAATAAGGCTCCAGAACAGACCCCCCCTCTTAGTTTCTCCACCTGCTGGTCAATCCCCAAAGATTCCTTGGGGCCAAGCCACCAGCTGCTCTACCCACCTGCATCCTCGCTGGGGAGGGTCTGGGCAGACCTCTCTCCGGGTGTCCTGCCTTGCTTGCCAACTCCCAGCTAGCCAGTTCCCCCGTCCAACTTCTCCACCCTATGAAAATTCAGGCCAAGCCCATTTCTGGGCTGACTCAAGAAACAGAAATTGTGGTGATAGCACTGGGCAGCAGAGCGGCAGGGTGAAAACAGAGCCATCTCTCATCAGGAGATTCCAGTGGGATTTTCCAAGGCACAGGACCTACAAGAACTCTTTCCTGATTGGCCCTCACTCATTCTGTTTTTCTCTTATCCTTTCTTTTTTTGTGTGTGGTACGTGCCCCTAGCAGGAACCGAACCCGGGACTCTCTGGTCTGCAGGCCGATGCTCAACCGCTGAGCCAAACTGGCCAGGGCTCTCTTCCCCTTTCAATGAACACTTCAAAAAAAAAAAACTTTCCTCTCCAAGGGTGAAACAAACTTCAAGTTGAATTTTCACTTCCTGTTTAACTTGAGATGGAAAAAACCCAGCAAGCCGTGCAAATTTAAGTAGGGATAAAAATAGCTCCGCTATCTTAAAGTCATTAAGTGAACATAAAAGGCTCTTCGTGATCTCAGGATATCCATAACCTGGCATCTGTCACCGTGCCTCCATCCTCATCCGGAGGCAAGGTGTTCAGAACAAGGATTCCACGCTTAATGGCACCTTGAGAGTCAGTGCTCCCAGGTGCCCATCAAACCTGTCACTCTGCACAGCTGTCGCTAAGTAACGACTTGTCCCCTCCACCCTCCATTGCTTTCTGCATAAACAGGTCTGCGGAGTTGTGCCAGGTGTGCCTTCCGGAGCTGGGTGTGCAGAGCCCCGTCCGGGAACACTGAGTCACCCCTCACCTGGCTTTGCTGTGCCCGTTCCAGCATTCCTCTTCGTTGGATGTGCCTGCTGTCACGCTCTCATCCTTGCAGATGGTGTAGGGCAACGCTGACCAGACCTTTTTAGAGAGCTTCAGTTTCTCTTTTATGTCTGTGACCTGATCAAGAAAGCAAGGGAAGACAGTGACTACTCTCCCCAAGTGTTGTCCGTTTCTGCACAAGGACACAACGCGGGCGAAGGCGAGAGAGCCTGTGATGGGACAAGCACAAACTCTTTCTCACTTTTAGGAGAGAGACAGGATTTATTGTCAGGAGAGCCTCACCCCCTCCTCCCTCAGTCTTGTGCTAGCTTCTGGCAGAGAGTTCTCAGGTAATTGCTTTCTGTTTTGCATCTTTTCTGTCTTCCAATCCTTTAAATTAAAAACTTATGAAGCATCTCAACTGGCTTCAGGTCCCTCTCCAAATAGGAGAAGTAGGCATACCTTACTGCAAACACCCCAAACATATTCTTTAGAATTCATTTGCCTGCATGTCAGATAAATGCACCTAAAAATGCACCATGAGATAAAACGTCTTTCCCAATGGTCTGCTTGTTTCTGCAAGAAATACATATTGTCACTAATTCAGCTGCAGGTAACCTCTGCTCTTGACTAATTGACAGGCCCATGTAGCACACACTTGGATGGTGAGCAGCAACCCAAGCCCACATCCAAAGAGAAAAACATTATTCCAAATACAGGTAAGTGTAAAATCGACAGCCCTTTGGATGGATGGCCAGGAGAAGCTTAGTGACATCATCTATAGTGTTTTCAGGGTCAGCACTGATTGTGCACCTGGGGATAGGGTAGGGAGAGAAATTCAATCTCATTTTGGTTCCATAATTAACATCTAGAGTCATGCAGTCACAACCTTGACTTCCTGTTCTACCTACATGAACACTGGGAAAGTCTACAGACATTTGAACTGCATCTGCTATAGGTTAAAGTATGCCCCCCTCCCCCGAGTTTGTATGCTGAAATCCTAACCCTCAGCTCCTCAGAATGTGATTTTATTTGAAGACACTGTCTTTACAAAGTTGAGGAAGTTTAAAATGAGGTCATTAGTTTGTCCCAATCCAAGACGACTGGTGTTCTTACTAAAAGGCGAAAGGTGGACACAGAGACGTGCATACAGAGAGGACAGTGTGAGGAGACAAAGACGTCTGTCTACAAGCCACGGGAAAATGCTGGAAAAGACCCTTCCCCACTGCCTTCAGGAGGAAACACCCCTGCTGACATCTTGATTTTGAACTTCTAACTTCTGAACTGGGAGACAAAACATTCTGTGTTTTAAGCCACCCAGTGGGACAGTGTTATGACAGTCCTAGCAAATTTATACAGCATCCTAGAAGGGAGAGCCACCAAGACTTAATGGCGTTATTGTACATTTGAGATCAATAGCCTTTGGACACAAGCATTCTATGTTCACTGTGGATGGAGCATAGACTTAAGAAACAAATGCAGAAGATCTTTTCTCAGGTGTAAAGTGAACGCAAAGAAATAAAAGACTCTGATAGTTGATTCCGGCTCCAGTTATGTTTCTCAGTAGTTCGGGAATAATAGTCCCTTGGCCCTTCTTACGTGTGACTCTGATGATGACCGAGGCATCAGTACTGAGCATCCTCTGCTCACCTGTCAGGTGCTGAAGTGACTGGAATGCTGACTCAGAGAACCTGCTACCTGTCTTTGAAGAGTGTGATGTTACTTTTGCTTTAGAGTGTGGAAAAAAAAATTCCACGAGTCATGACATTCCAAGACGTAGCTCACACACAGGAAATGTTTACGATAGCCTGAAACCGACACCCGTGGAGTCCCCCTGTCCTGCGACCGTGGCCCTTCCAGCTGTCCTTCCAGCCTCTCCAACTGGGTAGGAAGTTTGCACTAAAAGCCTGTCCTCTTCTGCCCACCCCCCTAGGCGCAGATGCCTGTGCGTGTTGTTTTCATTTATTTTTGTTTTGAAGATGAGTGGCACTTCTGGATCGATGGCACATAGATGGATGGACATTCTGTTTCTCAATGACAAAAAACCCAACCCCTGAGATACCAACTAATAGATGTTAAAGAATGATAGTTAGAAAAATCACCGTTCTGCAAACACCACAGTAACAATGGATCTCAGCAAGTATCCTCAATAGATGCTGCTGTGGGCACCCCACAAAAGATGTTGGAGTCGTAACCACCAGTACCTGTGAATGTGACCTTAATAGGAAATAGGATCGTTAGAGATGATCGAGTTAAAGTGGGGTCCTGAGGGTGGGCCCTAATCCAATATGAATGTGTCCTTATAAAAAGGGAACATTGGACACAAAGACTGAGAAGCAAGGAGAAGACCGTGTGAAGATGACAGCAGAGCTGGGGAGGTGCATCTGCCGGCCAAGGGGCTCCAAGGATTGCCCGCAAAGCACCAGAAGCTGGGGAGTGGCCTGCAGCAGGTTCTCCCTCCCAGCTTCAGAAGAGACCATCCCTGCAGACACCTTGATCTCAGACCTCAAGACTTCAGACTGTGAGACATTCAGTTCCTGTCATCGTAAGCCACCAGTTGGTGGTACTTTGCTGCAGGAGTCCTAGCACGCTAGGATGGACACAAAAATGCTGGGTTTGATGGAGAACAGGGTATTTACACAATCTCAACGTATTCCCCCCAGATTATCATTTATTTATTTATTTATTCATTTAATTTTTTTATCCTCCCTCGAGGACACTTGCACATTCATTTTCAGATAGAACGAGAGGGGGAGAGGGAGGAAGAGAGAGAGAGAAACATCGATGTGAGAGAGACACATCGACTGGCTGCCACCCACACGACCCCAACCAGGGCGGAAGACAAACCGCAACCGAGGTACGTGCCCTTAGCGGGAAGCAAACCCGGGTCTCTCTGGACCACTGGCTGATGCTCCAACCGCTGAGCCAAACTGGCCACCCCCCCACTGGAAAAATTATTATTACAAAGGGAATACTGGTCATTTTACAGTGCAAAAAACAACCTGTCAGGTCCCCGCCTTGCCCAAGCGACCGAAGCAACAGGACGAATTGATATTGTGCACCTCCTGACGCCATGTGACAAGAAGGACACGTCGCTTCTGCAGCCAAAATTCATAACCTGAATCCAATTATGAGGACATGTCACACAGACCCACACTGAGGGGCCTTCTGTATAGCAGCTGGCCTGTACTCCTCGAAATATCGGTCAGAAAAGACAAAGAAAGGCTGAGAAGTTTCTGGATGAAGGACAGTAAGAGAAAACGCAGCACATGGTTCTGAATTGGGTGCTAGATCGTAGAATAATCTCCTCAAAGGACATGACGTGAATAATAACTCCATTTAAATAGTATTGTATTGGTGTTAAATTTCCAGAATTTTAAATTATACTGCGGTAATATAGAAGAATGTCATCTTCTTAGGAGATGCATGCTAAAGTATTTAGAATTAAAGGATTATGATATCCACAATGTACTCTAGAATGTTTTAATAATAATAATAATAATAAATACTTAGATTATAGAGCAAGAAAGAAAACAAATGTGGCAATTTTTTTAAATCCTCACTTGATAGTTTTCCATTGATTTTCAGACAGAATGAGAGGAAAGAAGGGAGGGAGAGAGAGAGAGAGAAACAGCAACGTGAGAGAGACACATCAATTGGTTGCCTCCCACATGACCCGACCAGGGCCGGGGATCGAACTGCAACCAAGGTACATGCCCTTAACTGGAATCAAACCAGAGACTCTTTGGTCCACAGGCCAATGCTCTAACTGCTGAATCAGACTGGCCAGGGAAAATGTGACACATTTTTAATAATTAGTGAACCTAGATGGAGGTATATACTTTTTTAAAATTAAATTATTGGTGAGTTTGAATCTCAAAATTCAGTCTGTCAGAAATAAAGTCTCTCACATTCGATTTGTTCAGCGTTGGTGTCCTTGACCTTCAGGCTTGGCTGCCACGGCTAGGACACTCATTCTCACTGTTCTCAAACACAGAGCCCAGAGAAGAACCAGGTGCCACGTATTATAACTAATTCAGGAAACTATCACCAGCTTCAGCAAGGGACTATGGTAAGGTTTTTTCTGTCCCGTTATAAAGTATACCAGGAGTAAGCATCCCTTTTCTGATTATTTCATAACTAAATTCCCACCTCTATGCTGTGGGGATCTGAACCAAAGATGTATTTTTTGAGACACAGAGAAAGAATAACATTGCATGATGTTGCATAGTATCTCTTCTTTTATTATTTGCAAAGTTTAATTATGTTGAGCTGTTCATTCTTTAACTCAAACTCAAGGATTGTGTCTTTCAAGGTGTGCTCTCTGTCTCCAAGTTAGATTTATATTCAACAGTGTGTCCCACAGTGGCCTGTTCATAATTCTAAGTACTGATCACCCCAAACTTATGACTGGCTTACGTTTCTGATTTGCTCTTAGGTCACATGCTTCTTGATGCAACATTAAGGTTTTAACTTGTCTCAGCGCTTAGTGTGGGTCAGGTGACCATTATCTCAGTTTGCCTGGGACAGAGGGGATAGTAGGACACGGACTGTCAGTGTTGAAATTGCAGAGTCCTGGGCAAACCAGGTCAAGTTGGTCACCCATGTTTCTGCACACAGTAGGTTCTTAATAAATGTTGATTGAGAAAATGGATTTAATTGTCCCACTCTATTACCAGGTCACAGACAATATTGATAACACAAAACAGTTGGGGTCACACAATGTGCACTCTTGTGTCAGAGGGGGCGAGGGGAGTTATACAGCTAATGAGGATGTGGGTCCCCTCTGCTGGTCACCACAGCGCTGTTTGCAAGCAGGCTGTGTGCACCCTGGCAGCTCAGCAGCCAGGCATTTTCACTGTGCAATTGAAGGAGACGGGAGAGATGTAAATGCTGTTTTAACATTCTGCACGGAAACACTGGCCAATTCACTTTCCGAATGGGATGGTGATGCAGACAGTTGGAGAACACGGACACTGTTAGCTCCAGGACAGGAACGAGCCTTTGATTTTAAAGAACATCAGAAAGACTGCAGTTTCAAAAAAGTTTTTTAATTTTCACACTGTTTAGAAATATTTTCTATTATTTTTCTTTCTGAGTAATATATGGGACTCCTTTGCTGTAGCTCCAGACCTGAG